ATATATATATAATGTATTATATATATATAATATAATTATATAATATATATAATATAATATATATAAATATATATTATATATTTATATATATATAATATATATAAATATATAATAATAAATTATTATTACAAATCAGACAAATTATTACACTGGTCTGATTTTTGAAGCCAACTGATGTGTGAGACTGTGAGAAAGTCACCTTATCACTTTGTTCCTATTTCCGTCTCTGTCCCAGGTGATGGGGGTGGATTACTGTACCTGAATAGAGAAGTAGGAGGAGAAATGTTGTTCTGGGGCTTCCAAATGATATAATTCTATTCAATCCCACCACTGAATATTCTACCCTGGATTTATGTGGCATCCACTTTTACTGTCCCCTCTCCATCCTTCACCAGACTTTTAATTTTTTCCTCATGAGAATGTATTATTCTTACAGTAACAACAAAGAGCTAATGTAAAATGACCAGCAACAAATTGACTCTATTTTAATTCTGACTTGAGCCTCCAAAGTGGAATGAAGAATGTGAGTGCAAAATTTGCTTTATGATATAATGGGTGGAAAACCCCACCTAATTCTAATTATTCTCTACATTTCTTCCTCTACATGTTTGTATAGTCTTGGCTATTTTATTTAAATGCAAGTTCTTTGTATTCATTTTCTTTTTTTTTTTAAATTGAAGTATAGTTCATTTACAATATTGTTAGTTGCAGGTGTACAGCATAGTGATTCAGTGTTTTTACAGATTATATTCCATTATAGGTTATTTCAAGATACTGGGTATAGTTCACTGTGCTATACAGTATATCCTTGTTGCTTATCTATTTTATATATAGTAGCTTGTATCTGTTCATCTCATACCCCTAACTTTGCCCTCCCCCCTTCCTTCTCCCCTTTGGTAACCACTAGGTTTTTTTTTTTTTTTTTTTTCCCGGTACGCCGGCCTCTCACTGTTGTGGCCTCTCCCGTTGCGGAGCACAGGCTCCAGACGCGCAGGCTCAGCAGCCATGGCCCACGGGCCCAGCCGCTTCGCGGCACGTGGGATCCCCCTAGACCGGGGCACGAACCCGCGTCCCCCGCACCGGCAGGCGGAGTCTCAACCACTGCGCCACCAGGGAAGCCCTCTGTATCTGTGAGTCTGTTTCGGTTTTGCATATAGATCCATTTGTATTATTTTTTAGATTCTACATATAAGTGATATTGTAGAGTAAAAATATAAATTAAAAAATAAAGCTACAGAAGAAAAAAGTACGTAACAGGTAACGAACTCTGAAACTTAATTATTATTAAAAAAGGACCCAGACATGATTGAAGTGCATTGCTGGATGGTGACAGTTACCATTAAATAATAAAGTAATCCTAATATCAAACAAAAAACCCTCAGAAGAAGAGAAACAGCACATCAACCCTCGTGGGTTCCATTCTCACTACTGGTAACGATGTGCAAGGGTGTCACCTCCTTTGGGTCCACGCTGACAACCGTCAGACGGTAGACTATTTCTAATCAATCGCTATTTGAACCCTGAGCGAAGATGCATATGAAAATTTCCTAAAAACTTCATATGAACGATTATGGCCTAGTTTATGGCTTTAAAAATAAGTTACGAACTGCACAGGGAAGCTGGTTTGGCAGCTTGCCAAGCATGTTTCCTCCCTGCGCAGAAGTAGATACAAATCAGCAGAAAGAGGCTAATGGCTCCTCCTCATGCTGAAGCTTTGCTCCCCCCCGCCCCGCGCTCGCTCTTGACAGGGGTGTGGTATTCACAGATAATCAGAGCTGCCCTAATTAATTCTGCCTTCCTCCTACCATGATCCACATTTCTGACAACGCTAGTTTCTAGGAAAGAAATGATCTTTTTAAAATACGTTTTATTTTCACAATTGCTTAAAATATTTTATTAAAGAAGCAATACAACTTAGCTTTAAAAAAGGTTTATTAAAGGGGACAACATACAGCAATATAGTTAAGGCACATGACAAAGTTTTGGCATTAAACTGCAAAAGAAATGCAAATTATCCCAACAGATTTCAGAATCTATCTCATCAGTCCAAATAGTTCTAAAACAATGTTTCAACAGCACCGATAGATAACTTGATAACTCGTCTCAGACAAGGCACAAGCTTCAGGATCCGGGGTCCCCCTGCTTCATCAGCTGCTGCCTGGTGTATTCCCAGATGAGCAGCGCTCCACTCACGTGGACGTTGAGGGAGCGGATGATGCCCTGTTGAGGAATTTCCACACACACGTCCAGTTGCTGGATCAGATTTGCTGGAATTCCTTCCCGTTCATTTCTGATTCAGAAAAATGGGAGAAGAAGAAAGGTTAGTTTTCTTATAATAAACAATTTTTTTCTCAGATATCCTGGATGTTACTGGAAGAGACAGGTTAACACAATGACACAAGTCTATGGTACCAGGAAAATAAAGAAGAGTGTAACAAGAAGGTTTATGGGTCAATTCTGTGTTCACCTGACCATCCCAAACGGATGAAATAAAACGAGAACTTAGGGGGCGTTCCATAAACCTTGCAAGTCAAAAGCCAGGTACAGGTGTATGATCAAGAGTCCAGGTGAAACTGTAAACCTTCTGAAACGTTTTCTAGACAGACTCTCAAGACAGTGTTCTTACCCCAACAAGAGTAGAGACTTCTCAGGGAAGCAGTACTGGGTTAGGTCTAAACTTTTCACAGTCTGTTCCACACCCACGATGGTGTAACCTTCTGCTTTTTTCTGTTGCAGATAATCGATCAGCTGAGGTGGTTTTACCTTAATATTTGTTTACAAAGAGCAGAATATTAAATCATTCACTTACAGCCCTCCTGGGGGTAAAATCAGTTAAAGAAAAAAACACTTTCATGAAACTGAAATTTCTTAAAAGGAAAAGGACAGAATTATACACTATAAAAAAGAACACTCCCAACATCTCATAAATTTATCAAACGAGAGTGACTTATAACAGGACACATTTTACTGAAAAGAATTCTACATTATTGATTTCTAAAAATACAACAGTGTGAAAGATAATAAGAACAGGAGAACAGAGTGGGCTGTAGTTTACTCTTCAGTATTATTTTTAAGCTGTCAAAGGCTGGACTACTGCAAAAGGGCTGATAACGTGAAGACAGAGTACTACAAAAGAGTCTAGCGAATGAAAATTTTAATAATACATCGCTTTGCGCCCACCTCCACTAAAGGAAGCCACTGTTCCGCTGAAACGCTGAGGTGCTGAAACTGCTTGTCTCTGATGCACTGAAGGCTGCCAACCACGAGCGCCGAGGCCCCGAACACCTCACAAGTCCGGCACAGCCCTGCACAGGACAAGCCGGGGTTACTGCCGCCAGTCTAAGGCCAAGTTCACTAGGTCCCAGGCATTCCTCTGAGGCTCCCGGAGACGGGGAAGTGTGGAAGAGAGGCCACAAATGGCACTGGGTCAATTACAAATTTTCGGGATCAGAAGATGTTCAGCAAGCCCACTGGAAACTCTAACTTTACCTCCTAAATTGGTTGGTTTGTCAACGAGTGAGGCCACTACAATCAGTCTGCTGAGTGACTTCCCAAGTTTGGCCGCACGATCCTGAAATACCAGCTCCAGGTCTAAGTCGGGAACATTGTTTCTCCACGGGATAATCTTCTTCTGAACATCACTCCACTCTGACTCGTTATCTGCTTCGCCCGAGTTAGAACCTGGGAAAGAAAAAGAAAATATAAATCTCCCTCTCTATTGATTTACATGCATATATACTTTTTTAAGAGCTTAAAATGATAGTTTAGAATGAGGTTCATTGACTAAAGAACTTTACTTGGATTCAGATACAATTGTCATTTTCGGTAACAGTTTAAAATGTTCAAATTCTACCCTGCTAACCAAAATACGACAATATTTCATGAAAATCAAAGCTGCACATTTCTTCCATTTTGGCATACCCCAAATTGGGAAGCATCTTAGAATCCATAAGGGTACCATGGGTTTGGCAGCATTTTTTCCTTAGAGTTACATAAAGTAATGGCGTATCTTACAAACAATGGTGTTATTAGATTGGAATTTTCTGTAGAAATATTGTATGCCGGAAAACAACAAACAGGCTTTATCTTAAATTATCTTCCAAGTACTTGGGGGACCTTTTCTAAAAACGAGGACTGTTCTTTGGAGCAGTTATCTCTTGGCTACCGCGATGAGTACACGGATGTTACTGAGCTGTCTAATGTGCGTTGTGATCTCTAGTTCAGGACTGAGACTCTCCTTCCAGGCTCTCCTTCCCACTCCAGACCTGACTGAGCAAACGGGGGCACTTAGGTTACTGGGGAGGGAAGAGACACGCATGGAACCACGACCGACGCGGTACTATACTGAGGGTGTGCCCACACAGACAGGAGTTGCTAATGTCTGGGGGAGGGAGGGGCAAAAAAGCAAGACGCAGGAGGGCTCAGGGAAGGGAGTGTAAAAGTCTGCAACGGAGAGCGCGTGGGAAGGGCGGGGCAGACTGTGGACACGTTGCGCACGAGCAGACGCGGAAGGACACGGACTCAGGCATCGCTCACAGCCTGCAGTGGAGGGAGGGACGTGACTCAGACCAGGCCGTTAGGGCTTTGTGTATAAAACGATAAAGAATTTCTTCTACAGACAGGAGGCAGTACAGGGTTTTAAGAAAGGGGGTAACAGTACTGGTTTTGTGTTGCAGAAAAAACCCCTCTTAAAAACGAATGTGGAGGATAAGTGGGGAGGGAAAACCACCGAGAGGCTTTCACACTAGCCCAAAAAAGACAAAAACAGTCTCTGCAAGAGGGGCTGAAGAGGAAGGGCAGAATCGCCAAGATCTGATAACGGACGGATGTGGCTAGAGGGACCGCAGAAGAATGACTCCTGTGAGACCACTAACAGGAAGGGGATTAGAAGAGGCCCGCGTCTGGGCAGAAAGGTAACGTGGATTTGGATACTGAGTTTAAAGAGCTTATAGATGAGCTAGTGAAAGCGTCTAGAAGGCTCAGGAAGGAGGCTGGCCAGAGATAAGGATCTGAAAGTTGCAGTTACATAGGTGGTGGTTTCCAGTTGTGGAAATTAATAAGAACGTGCAGGGAGAGCAAACAGAATGAGAAGAAAACCAGGCCAATGAAAGCATTTAGCATTCACGTCCCAGCAGAGAAACCCTGTTGCAATATCCCCCTCTTTACCAAAAACAAACAAAACAAACAGAAAGACCTCTGTAGCCTTCTCCCCATCCAGTAACTCCCCACTTCTCTGCCCCACTCACGCCATGGCAGAAGTCAGACAAGATGTGCAGATGTGCGGCTCCCCTCTCCTCCCCTCCCGGTCAGGCGGGCCCCTCCGCCCTGAGAAGGCTCCCGTCACTGTCTTTTGCCCCCAAATCCACATTTGCTCTTCCCCAGGCTTTGCCTGACTTGCTGTCCTCTGCTCGATGTCAACTCCTTAAAAAGGTCTTTTTCATCCTCCCTCACACTCCTTACTCTGCTTTCTCTTCTCCACACCACCTGACTGATATGTTTAGCGTTGTCCCCCTGGAGGAATGTAAGCGCCCTGAGGGCAGGGCCTTTGTCTTTTGTTCAGCACAGAGGGGGCAATAAGTAAATCTTTGTTGACCGAGTAAATAAATTTAAGGTGATAAGTCTTAAAATGAACCACCTAGAGTATTTGATTAAAAAAATGCACTTTCCTAGAACTCTCCTCCAGGCAAAAATCTAAGGGTGGGACCCAAGAATCTGCACTTTCAACATGATGTCCAAGGGATTCCTGAAAACACTAAAATTTGAGAGAACTATAAATATAAGGGATGAGGGAGGGGAACTCAAAGGAGAGAGAGAAAAGTCAGACTGAGGAGAAAAATCAGGAGAGCAAGAAATGAGCAAATAAATGCTACATAGGGTCAGGTATGGTAAGAAAAGAGCATCTGTTTAGATTTTGTAAAGAAGTAGACAAAGACAATTTCTGCTTTTCTGAAAGAAGTTTCCATGATGCTTATGGGCTGGGGAAGCCAGAAGGACAAAATGTGAGTGACAGAAAAGCTGAGAATGCAGATCGCTACTACACAGCTCTTAAGGTTAGTTGTGATTTTAAAAATGGGCGGGAGACTTGGTCCCCGGTTTTTTGGGGCAGCTGGACTGTGAAGGGAAGGAGGAGGACGGGAAGTAACAGAGGGAAAAGGGGGGGTCCTTGAGAAAGCTGCAGGGAAGGATGGGGGCGGGGGCACGTGAAAGGAGGGCTGGAGCCATAGGGAAAAGAGGGGTAAGAGATGAGTGACGTTCGGCCAGACCGAGCAGGGAATGCAGAGCTCTGCTCCACTCCCAAATAGGACAAGAGAAGAGATTTCTTAATTTGGCCCTTTTTTATATCTATATTTTTTCAGAAATATATAGTAGAAGAGCAATGAATATTAATTATCAATACTTCAAAGAAGACAGAAGCCTTTAGCTTTATATAGTAAAGCAGATTAAGCTCTCTTTGGCTATTAAGAGCAAAGCCAACGTCAACTGAAAGTACTAGTCAGAGTGACACCACGCCTTCTGTCTTTTCTCTAAGTGGAGCAGAGTTCACCACATCAATGAAAAATGGTACTATCAAGCACCTATTCTAAGTAACGTGAATCAATGAGCCTGACCGAGGCAACAGGCAGAACAAGTAAAACAGAAGTTTTTCTTACCTATGTCCTGCTGGGACCAGTCACCTGGTTTTAGTTCACAAAGTTGAGCTGGAGAAAGGTACCACTGAAATCTTGCATCTAAAGGAATGTCAGTGAACCTGGTGAATTTACCAATGGCAATCCATTCGTCCTCAACAAGGCCAGAAAGGCGTGGAAGGATATAAAATATGGTCTGAAAGGAGAATTGTAAACATCTAAATTTTCTTCCCTTAAAAATAACAAAGAAATACATGATAACGTGTTTAAAGTACAACTTAATTATTATTACTGATGTGTTCTCCCAAACTATCACATCTGATCAAATGACATACTTTCATTTATATCTTGTAGCAACTGTCTATCTATACTTCTTATCTTCTCTAAGAAATTAAGAGATTAATTTAGGAAATCCTTGAGAGCGGGCAGATCTTCCACTCCAGTATTTCTAACTGTATGTAACATAGTATACACCATGCTCTTAATACAAGCAAGAAGTGTTTTGGAATTAATCAGCATTCATGTTGGACAACATTTGGATAAATGCTATTTATTGACAACCAGACACCTCCATAAGCGATCAGATTCAAGCTCCTGTGATGCCCGATCTTCACTCTCGCTGCCAATATACAAATTGAGAGTCTAGATTTTTGCCTCGACTGTATCTTAGCTGTGTGACGTTAGACAAGCCATTAGCCTCTCTCAGCTTCAACTTCCTCACTGGTAAAATGAGGGTAAAATCAGGTGAAAAGAGCACATGAAAGTGATTTGTGAACTGCACAGGGTGACACCACTGTGAACAGCAGTTATTCAGTCACTACATGACAATCCTCCCCTTTTCTTACCTATGACAAGAAAACTGAGATCCAGATAACCCTCAAATGTGAAAAGGCACAGGAGTCAGAAGCACAGCAGGCAATTTAAAAATAAGGTAATAAACTTAAAACAGTGTCCAAGTCTTCATAAAAGCTTTTAGAATGAATATGGTTTTCTCTTTATTAGCAATATTTGTGCAAATTGAAACTGGCATGATGAATGCAACTGTTTATTAAGTACGTGCCAAGTATAGCTCCAAATGTACAGAGAAACAGAGTTCTTGTGTGCCATTATTTTGATATGTACAGTTATGGTTCGTATAATTAATAGAGAATAAAATATATAAAACATATGAGGGTGAGGCAGTCAAAGTCAGGATGAAGGAAAAGTGGAAGCAAGGGACTTACTCCTGCTGGAGAACTGAATAGAAAAGGCTGACTTAGCACTAGAGAGTTATTAAGAGTCCTTCAGAAAGATGTCAAACAAAGCATTCTGGGCGCTAAAGGACACAGAACAGAGCACGTTAAAATATTTGAAAAATCCTAAATAATTTTTGCAATGAAGCAACAAAGTACACAATAATGTTTTATGATGACTATCTCACAACATATAGATCTGTATTCTTTTTAAAGGCCAGCTTATTAGTAATCCACA